GAAGGTTTTGGTTATGTTAGTCATGATGCTATCAGGTGGTCTGACTCTGAGCTGTACAAAAGAGATGGTTTGCATCTCTCACACAAGGGCACTGAACGTCATAGTATGGAATTTAGGAGTTTTTTGGACATGTGTTTAAACTGAGAAATGGGGGCAGAGATGTCATAGATGAGGAGCATTTCTGTACCCAGCAGGTTGAAACAAATGTGAGGGTTTTGTGTTGCTAAGGACTGGGCTGATGGGGTAGTCACTTCAGTTGGTTTCTGGTGGTAGAAAATAAAGCAGTAGATAGCAGTGTTTGTTGTGTCATGTGCACTACTGCTCATATTTTAGGCAACAAGCTTTGTGAGCTGACAGCTCTTATGTCTGCGGAAAACTTGGACCTTGTTGCAATTACACAGACATGGTTCAAGGATTCAAATGACTGGAAAATAACTATACCAGGGTACATGATATACAGGAATGACAGTAAGGCTGAGAGGAGGTGGATATGCCATATACAGTATATGTGTATATATATGTCAAAATATACAGTATATGTATATATACAAAATATACATATGTATGTATATATATATATATATATATATCAAAAATAGCATAAGGCTAACATTAATAAAAAAAACAAATGAAATACTTGATATCACGGACGCGGGATCACTGCCACCAATATGCGATGATCCCACGATCGCTGTCACCAAAATGTGATGAACGCGGCGTCAGACCCCAGCCCTTCTCACCAAACTCGTGACCAAAGGACTAGCCAATCTAAAACTCCACAATCTAAAAAAAAAAGCTGTCACGTGCGTAACAATGCCACACCCAGCTGCACCCTGCACAACGATTTTCCAGCTAATTGGACCACAATCGATGCACTGGCAGCCTGAATGCGATTGTTACTGGGTCAGGTTAATTACACAATTAACCCTTCACACTGCCACCACCTCCTTTTTGTACAGAGAAAGAGGAAACTTGGCGATATCAGCTATAACGCTATAATGGTTGAGATAATCGTCTGTATAGAACGGTCACCGCAGGCCGGTTATACAGAGGGTTAAACAAACACAGTAGCGTCTCTTTTAGAGGCAGGAATTCGTAAATTGCAATTAAGAGCTATAGAAACAGTTAAACACTTTCAGAAGGAAAGATTTATTACTGAAAAGTCAAAAGGAGTGCAATAAAAATATTTACAGAAAAAGATGTAACTAATATATATATAAATATACAGAGAACAACAGCACAGCAAAGAGATATCAGAGAGAGGTGAAAGGGTTAAGGTACTTGCCAAAGTCCTGGGCTAGCAGATCCAAGTTTCAGAGCGAAAGGGCACAGGTCTCCCCAGGTGGTACTGATGTTAAAATGGGAGACGTCTTCAACTTACCTGACAGCCTATTTTGTAGTCCCCCAGCAGGGGGTGTCTCTGAAGTCAAGGACCAATACCCCGTTTAGGGCGTGGAGGTCTGGGCGGATACCTCAACTAAAGCCAAAATCTCTCATAACATATTTTGGCCCATAACTTTCCATCTGCACAAGTGACATTCCACCTACGGGTAGATTGTTATGCAGACACAACAGAGGATTGATTAGATATGAATTATGAAATTATACACTGACCAGTTCGCAAGATCTACTTTTCTGTTTTCCTATGTATTCGAAACAAGGCGAGTGACCTACCAAAATGTTCGTCTCCTCTAAGTCAATCTGACGATATGTCCGGTTTTTATGCAAGTCTCTCATATTCCAAGATATGAGACATAGGGGAAAATGGATTTTAACAAAGGTTATCTGGTTGTGTTTCCTTGGAATGTTCTTTGAATTCCTGGGAAAGCTTGCCTTATCTTATACAAGGTGTTAAATTTTACAGGTTCTTTGGACAGCGAGGCCCCAGCTCCCTTGGGGGTCCTATAGCTCATAGCCCCCCTGCTGGCTCTGGCCTGTGACACTTTTAAACACACACACAGGCTGCCATATGTCACTGTGCCTCTCAGAGAGGGAGGGGGGGAAGAATGAGGGAATAACATGGATACTCTTAACAAAATGGAGGCTGCGTCCTTCACTGTGTGTACGCTGGTTACACCTCCCCCCTCAGGTGGTTGCATTGGAGGGTACTGCAATTGCCCTCCTGAGGCAACCCACTTCTTCCACGGGCTGGCCTGACCAGGGCACAGAGCCACTGTGCCCAGGGGTTCACCTTGGGGTGATATGCACTGCAGGAGACCCAGGTTGCTTCTGAAAAGGAAGCTGTTCTCCCCAGCGTACACACAGTGATGGAGGCTGCGTCCATCACTGTGTATACGCTGGTTACACTTGAAACCCTCTGGGTCTGCCTTCCAACCAGAAAGGGATCTTCCCATAGAATTGGTGTAATATACAGACCCCCAGGGCAGACTGAAGATTATGATAACTTGTTGCTTGTTGAGATAACTCAAATGACAATGAAGGGAGAGGTTTTGATTATGAGTGATTTCAACCTGCCTGACATTAACTGGAATTCTCAAACTGCTATTACAAGCAGGAGCAGGGATGTAATGGAAGCACTGATTGGGATTTCTCTAAAACAGTAAAAAACCCAACCAAAGGTCATCATTTTCTAGACCTAGTACTCACAAATGGGGATCGACTGTCTGATCTTGAGGTGGGATAAAATTTGGGTTCTAGATATCAAAATGTGTTTGGCTTGATATTAAAAAACCGGATTGAAAGATTGGAGTAAAACAACAGGAGTAAGTAATCAGTGGGCACTGTTAAAGTCTACCATCCCGGAGGCAACTAGATTATATGTCAGGGATGTTAGTAAGAATAAACAGAAGTAAAAACCAATATGGTTCACTAAATAGGTAAGTAGGATAGTAAAGGAGAAATATCAACATATAGGAGATTCAAGGAAACAGGAGGTGTAGCTGACAGCGAAGAGTATAAAAATGGACAAAAGGAGGCCAAACATATTATCAGTGTTGTTAAAGCACAGAAAGAAGAGTAAATTGCTAAGTCTATTAAGAAAGGAGATAAAACTTTTTTTAGGTACATTAGTGATAAAAAGAAAATAATAAAATGGGATAACTAAAATGAAAACTTGGCACAACATTTATGTTGAGGGAGACCGGGATGGAGCAAACCTTTTATATACTCTTCTGTTCAGTCGTCTCAGAAATCAATTGTACTAGCAATAACAAGATGGGGAGTCATATTGGTTCTAGTAATGACAGTTTATTTTTAGGAGTTCCGGAGACAGAGGTAGCAGAGGAACTGACTTGGTTAAAGCTTAATAAAGAAATGGACCCTGATGGTATTCATCCCAGAGGTCTAAGAGAACTTCAAGGTATAGTTGTTGGACCATTAATGGATCTTTTTAATCAGTCTCTTCTAACAGGAGAAGTTTCCCATGACTGGAGGACAGCTAATATTGTACCTATCCACAAGAAAGGCAGCAAGGTAGAAGCTGGCAATTACAAGCCAGTGACTTTAACATCAGTTAATGGAATCACTCCTGAAAAGAAGGATCGTTGATCACTTAAAAATACACAACTTGCTGGAACCAATGCAGCATGGCTGTACTGAGGGTGGATCTTGTCAGATTCTGTTTTAATTGTTTACTATATTACCAATGTTTTGGACCAGCGTGGTGTTGTGGACATAGCACATCTTGATTTCAGCAAGGCATTTGATACAGTTCCGCATAATGAACTAATACAAAAGTTGTACAAGCTAGGACCTAACAGTTGGGTGGTTCAGTGGATATGCAGTTGGCCAAAGGATGAATGCCAGAGTGTGGTTGTAAATGGGGTTCACTCGGAACAGAGACCAGTCACTAGTGGTGTACCACAAGGTTCTGCACTAGGTCCTGTTCTACTAAATCTGTATGTAAGTGATATAACTAAAGGTTATACAAAGGTGTATAATAGGGTTTATATACTGGAGGCGTCTGTAACATGGAACATGATTTGGTATTGCTGGAAGATTGGTCAAATAAGTGGAAACTGTAGTTCAGTGTTTCTAAATGTAAAATAATGCACCTAGAGAAAAAGAATGCCTTGACAGAGTGCAACATTGGGGGAAAAGTGTTGGCCAGCAAAACAGAGGAAAATGATTTGGGGATACTTATTTCAAATGATTGCAAAATGAGCAAACAGTGTGACCAGGCAGTGGGGAAAGCGAATAGAATTCTAAGATGCATCACTAGAGGGATCACCATCTGGAGGAAGGAGGTTCTGATTCCCCTATAAAGATCTTTTATTTTACTGAAAGGGTAATTGAAGCTTGGAATAGACTTCCAGCAGAGGTAGTGAGTCAGTCAATAGTAAGCGGTTTCAAACATGCTTGGGGCAAACATAGATCTATACTCAGAAAAAATTATAAAAAAAAATACAGAACATGTATAAAAGAAGAAACAAAAAAATGGGCAGAATCGATCTTTTTACTGTCGTCAGACAGAAGCAGACAAGGGAAGGAACCATCATTTAGCTGCAATATTTTTTTTCCTTTATAAATGTCACTTTTTCTGCAGTACATTTTGTAACTCGTAGCTCAGAAATGTTCAACAAGCAAAAACCTTTTGTTTTCAATAGTCACATCTTAGTATCCTGTCGCTTGTAGCAAAATGTCTGTCGCTCAAAAAAGTATATGAGCTATTTTTTGCAGACAGAAATGAGCGTTCTTTTCCCCTTAGACTTCAATGGAAATGCCTGAAAAGGGCAACATAAGCTTTTTTGAGCATGTGTTTGAATGTTTTGCTGCGTGTTTATTGCTCAAACAGCAGGTCTCCGTCCTTTTATCAGCAGCACTGCTATGCAGAGCCATGCAAAGCAGTGTGCAGGAGCTGACAGGGGAGAGAACTCTATTGTTTACATACAGTTCTCTCCCTTTATCGGTAATACTCCGCGATTGCCAGGTGCCGACAAGTAATCACCATCCTGGAACGGAGGAGATTGACAGCCGAGGCCGCAAATAGCCCAGAAATGCAAAATATATACCTAATTTTGTGCACCCCTCCAACCCTGTAGCAGTACATCTGCTATATGGCCAGGGGCGGACTGACAACCCATGGTGCCCCCGGGCAATAGGGGATCATGGGGCCCCTGTGTCCTTGCCCAAACTCCAAAAAGTCTATGAAAAGGTACCAGGGGCATCTCATGGGGCCCCCTACTGACCCCGGGCCCCTCGGGCATTGCCCGAGTTTCCAAATGGTCAGTCCGCCCCTGTATATGGCAGAAGAAGGCGGTTAAGCTATAATATATTCAAAGACCTTCTCCTCGCGGAATGGTATTTTCTAGGAAAGGAAAAAATATGCCAACTCCGAAGTTGGAATTCTGACCCTCTTCTTCGTGCATTCTTGCACTTTTTCTGACCAGTCTAAAAAAATATATAAATAACAGATATCTTGCTAAAGATGCTATGCAAACAGGACAAATTGTACCAGAGCTATATACAGTAAGGTGCTAAAAATTAATATTACTAGATATTTACAAAGACATATAGTATATTACCAGGGACAAAGATTTTCAGAACATTTAGCAGAGCAATACTTACCTTACACACATTGGCAGGAACATTACATATAAAGAATATAAATTTAAATGAACATTTTCATGAATAAATGCAACCAAGGACACATATGGTCATAACATACACTACCAGAGGCAGCACTACAGACTCATGGTTGCACATTCCAGAGTCATTCACAAAAAATAATATTATAAGGGACACTCAAAAACATCTGTTTTTCATAGAAATTACTTGTGAAATATTTTAACACATGCAATTTCCTGAAAAATTATCAAGAAAAGCCTGTTACCAATGAGATATAGTACAAGGGGACATTAACTGAAACACACATGATAAAGCACATGACCAAGTGCATTTAAGGAACAGGTGGTAAATCACCTGACTTTTAAGAGGCCCTGTCACCAACTTATAAAATTGCAGATAGAAGAAAAATTAAGTATTTAAGTGTCGGTTTATCCTTTCCATATTTTTTCTTGTATACATTGACTACTCAATTACCTAGCACAGCCCCCTTCAACCTAATTAATGTCTATGCTGGCAGCTCCTCTGCCTCTCCTTTCACCTCCCTAAATAACTTTAATGTAGTTGCTGGGGTAGACACAAAGGAGAAAGTAATGCTGGGTACAAACGATCCAAATATTGACCAGTTCAGCAGGAACCAGCTGATATTCTGAGCCTGTCTGACAGAAGCCTGTCTAAGGGCTGGCTTTTGTAGAAGGGATATGCTGGAAAACCAGCATCAGAAGAGCAGCCAATCTGCGCTGACAACCAATGGCTGTGAGCACTGATCACCTTTAACGTAGCTGCTGGGGTAGATGCAAAGGGGAATAAAAGTAGTGCTGGGTACACATGATCCAAATATTGACCAGTACAGCAGGAACCAGCTGATATTCTGAGCCTGTCTGACAGAAGCTGGTCCAAGGACTGGCTTTTGTAGAAGGGATATACTGGAAAACCAGCATCAGAAGAGCAGCCAATCTGCGCTGACAGCCAATGGCTGTGAGCACTGATCAGTGTGTTCTTGCTGGATGGGTGCAGGCCCCCTGTCAGAACACAATAGCTCAGCAGGGGAGATAAACACACTAATATCATATACAGTGGGGATCGAAAGTTTTGGCACCCCAGCTAAAAATTTGTATTAATGTGCATAAAGAAGCCAAGGAAAGATGGAAAAATCTCCAAAAGGCATCAAATTACAGATTAGACATTCTTATAATATGTCAACAAAAGTTAGATTTTATTTCCATCATTTACACTTTCAAAATAACAGGAAACAAAAAAATGGTGTCTGCAAAAGTTTAGGCACCCTGCAGACTTAATATCTTGTACTACCCCCTTTGGCAAGTATCACAGCTTGTAAACGCTTTTTGTAGCCAGCCAAGAGTCTTTTAATTCTTGTTTGAGGTATCTTTGCCCATTCTTCCTTACAAAAGTCTTCCAGTTCTTTGAGATTTCTGGGCTGTCTGTCACGCACTGCTCTTTTAAGGTCTATCCATAGATTTTCAATTATGTTGAGGTCAGGAGATTGTGAAGGCCATGGCAAAACCTTCAGTTTACGCCTCTTGATGTAATCCCCCGTGGATTTCAAGGTGTGTTTAGGATCATTATCCATTTGTAGAAGCCATCCTCTCTTTAACTTCAGCTTTTTCACAGATGGCATCAAGTTACCATCCAAAATTTGCTGAAATTTTATTGAATCCATTTTTCCTTCTACTCGTGAGATGTTCCCTGTGCCACTGGCTGCAACACAACCCCAAAGCATGATTGATCCAACCCCATGCTTAACAGTTGGACAGAGGTTCTTTTCATTAAATTCTGTGCCCCTTCTTCTCCAAAAGTACCTTTGCTCATTCCGGCCAAAAAGTTCAATTTTAACCTCATCGGTCCACAGAACTTGTTTCCAAAATGCATCAGGCTTGTCTATATGTTCATTTACAAAGTTCAAACGATGATTTTTGTGGTGAGGACGTAGAAGAGGTTTTCTTCTGATGACTCTTCCATGAAGACCATATTTGTACAAGTATCTCTTTATAGTGGAATAGTGTACCACAACTCCAGTGTCTGCCAGATCTTTCTGGAGGGATCGTGCAGTCAAACGTGGGTTTTGAATTGTTTTTCTCACAATCCTGCGAGCTGTTCTGTCTGATATTTTCTTGGTCTTCCAGATCTTGCTTTAACTTCCACTGTTCCTGATGACTGCCATTTCTTAATTACATTCCGAACAGAGGATATTGACATCTGAAAACGCTTTGCTATCTTCTTATAGCCTTCGCCAGCTTTGTGAGCGTCAACTATTTTCAGTTTCAGTTTTCTAGACAACTGCTTAGAAGAACCCATGGTGCTGATTGTTGGGGCAAGGTCAGATGAGTCTGGGCATTTAAAACCTTTGAGATTGACATCACCTGGTCTTCCCAGACGATGATTGAGAACAATCCATGACACTGGCAGGTCTCAGCTTTGCAAAGGGGGCAGTGCATGCTATAAATTCTGCAGGGTACCCAAACTTTTGCAGACGCCATTTTTTTGTTTTCTGTTATTTTGAAAGTGTAAATGATGGAAATAAAATCTAACTTTTGTTGACATGTTATAAGAATGTCTAATCTGTAATTTGATGCCTTTTGGAGATTTTTCCATCTTTCCTTGGCTTTTTTATGCACATTAATACAAATTTTTAGCTGGGGTGCCAAAACTTTTGATCCCCACTGTAGTTATTACATTGACCTCTCAGGTTTTTTTCATTCAGCCCGCTGGGTTGAACAAAAAAACTAAACATGTGTACTAGGCTTAAAGATAAGCCATTCTCAACTACGGTTCCTCTAGACCAGGGGTGGGCAAACTTTTTGACTTGAGGGTCGCAATGGGTTCATATATTGGACCCGGGGGCCGGACCAAGAGTAGATGAATGATGTGTATGTGTCATCCATAGTAAGTATAGTAATATTCCCCCATAGTAAGCATAGTAATTAATCCCCCATATAGTAATTCATCCCCCATAGTAATTCATCCCCCATATTGTAATTCATCCCCCATATAGTAATTCATCCCCCATAGTAATTCATTCCCCATATTAATTCATCCCCCATATTAATTCATCTCTCATATAGTATTTCATCCCCCACAGTACTATTCCCCCCAAGTAGTAAGCCAAGTCCCCCCTGTGTCAATTCACTTACCTTTGCTCCGCGCGTTCCTCTCGCCGTGTTCCCGCGCCGTTCCGGTCTTCAGGGTGGACTGTGAGAGGAGCCTAGCTCCCCTCACGTTCGTCACGCTGCCCCGCCTACACACATCCTGACAGCCAATGTATCACGCTCCGCGGGCCGGATTAAAAGGTCCGCCGGGCCGTAAACGGCCCGCGGGCCGTAGTTTGCCCATTGCTGCTCTGGACGTTGCTAGGGGTTCCTTGAGCAGCATTTAATAATGTGCTAATATGCATCATATACTGGCACATTATGAAAGACTTACCTTAGAGCAAAGCTCTCCAGCAGCGTCCTGTCACTGCTGACAGGGCTTCCATCTTCACCCGATCTTCATTCCGACTGTTTGAATGGCTGAGCCAAATACGCACGAAGTCATGGCCACGTCAGGGCCACATCACAGCTCTCTCAGAGCTCTCTCTCATCAGAGTGCAGTGCACACTACTAAAGTAAATATCTCCTAAATGATTACATTTTACATTTAGGAGATATTTGCTGTACCTTATTATAGGCTTACCTGTAGGTACAAGTAAACAAGGGGGACTTTATTACCACTTTAAAGGATAACTTCACCTTTGGAACATGTTCCACCTATATTTAGGGTGAAAGATGTAACATGCTCCAGCTTCTGTCTCCCCCCCCCCCCCCCCGCGATCCACCCACCGTGGGACAGCAGGGGATCTTCTCCCCACACCCACTGTTATAATTTATATACAGCACAGCTGTGCGGGGCTTCACACACACAGCTATATATTCATTTACCGAGTTCTGTGAGTTAATAAAAATTATAAGTACCGTCAGCCTCCATGGCCGACAACTAGTTTTCAATGCACTGTGAGGGTGTTTCCTTTAAAATTCAAAGTGCTATGTAGAATGTGTAACAAACCATAACAGCTATCAAGGTTCATATTTTGCTGATCTACCTTAGGGGTCTCCAAACTGCGGCCCTTAATTTGTGGAGAATTCCTCTCACTGCCTGTTTTGGCAATGGGACACAAGTGAATGTAAATCTCCCCAATGGGACAGATATGGCAAAAAATAAACTGATAGGGGTTATAACCCTCCCTTACTCTATCCAAAACGATAAAAAATGGAAAATGGATCATACTTACCATAATTTTCCTTCCCGGTGCCTATCCATGGCAGCATACCTGTGATAAGCTTTGCCTTAGACTCCTTCCTCAGGACCAGTGAATATATAAAAAGAAAGGATTAAGGTACCCCCAGCATTCTTTGTAATATAGAATTCCGAGGGCGGGATTGTATGCTGCCATGGATAGGCACCAGGAAAGGAAAATTCCGGTACATATGGTACAATTTTCCATTTTCCTGGTGCCTCCATGGCAGCATACCTGTGAAAATAACTAGCTGAAATGGGTGGGATCATGCTTGGAAAAAAGTTTTATTTGAAAGGTAGGAAGATTATCATTTTGAGCAGGCAATGGCTGCCCTGATAGGTTGTCTGCCAAACTCCACAGATGAGAGAGCCCCTGGGTCCACTCTGTAGTGCCTCATAAATGTGT